AACACCAAAGATATTTCTTTCTCTCACTTTCTCTGCCACATGATCCCACTTTGCCATCCTGAACTCTCTGGCCCTGTTGCCAAGCTGATCCAACTCCCTGGTGCAGCTGGGCTTCTGCTCTGCAAGCAGAGAGCAGAACCAGCACGTGGGGCACTCTGCTGAGCACCAGAGAAAAAAAGTAAGAAGGGGAAGTTCAGGGATGGGAGATGTAGGAAAGGGACTGCAGAAGAAACAGAACATCTTCCCTGTGGCAACAGTGTGCTAGTAAGTTAGCTCACCACATTTTACTGTGCTTTGTCCTCAGAAGGGAGGTGAACAAGCACTTCAAAAAGCTGCAACAGCAAGGCAAGTGCCAGAACAGAGAGAAGGCAATTCACTCAATACCAACCCAAGAGTTTTGTCAACAAAATACTGTATGGGAAAGTAGAACTAAGAAACAAAATTAACAGAAGGAACATAAACAAGAGTAACAAGTTAAACTGGAAAAAGGAAAAGAAACTAAAAGGAGAAAAATCCCCAAAAACTAAGATGTTCAGATAAAGGAAGCTAAAACATGATTTAGAAACCCTTACAGGTACAAAACCTCACAGCTCTCACACACAAGAGAGGGAGCCTTAATGAGGGCACAACTTTAAACACACCTATAAAAGCAAATCATTCATAAAGAGATGCTTAAGAGATTTTACTAAAAGTGTAAACAGCTGATCTTCACACAAGAGTTAAAAACACAAGACAAATGAAAAGACTGGAAGCATTGTCAGATAAACCCATTGTGGCTAAGCACAGGGAAAATACATCCCAGTTAGAAGACTGGGTGGACACAAACATGCAACAACTCAGGCTGACAATGTCCATGTTGCTACAGGTGGAGTAGAACACATTTAATAATAAATTCCACACACTCCTCAAAAATCTCTCATTATCTTAGAAAGCAGAGCAAGACATCCTACTGCAGGCATTAGATGCACGTTCTCAAGCTGAAAAAATTTATCCATAATATCTAGTTTAAAATCTGCTACCCTAAAGATGAGAAATTGAATGAAGCATTCTAAAGAATCAGAAAAGAAACACCAGCCACATTTAACAGGCTTCCTGTGAACCTCTGAGCAGCATTACCCTTGACTCCTGAAAGCAGTGAGTAATCCAGGATCCCTGGGTCCAGAAGCAAGGCAGGCAGCAGCCAGCACACTCACTTCAGAGACAAGCCAACACTCCAGTCTGCAGCTGTTTCTATGTTTTACATCAAACCACCACTGTCTAAAAGCTGCAAGATGCACATGTGGCTGTGGAGCACCCTCAATGATCAGCACTCCATGGGACACTGTCTGCAGGCTGCTCCTCAGGTCCTGCAGGTCTCTGCAAAGCTCACACACAGCCCACATACCCAACACACAGTTCTGAATCTCAGTCAGGGCAAGGACTGGAAGTTCACTGCTGCAAAGACAACTCCTTTTTTGGATTTGCTCTCAGATGAGGACAAAAAGGGTACAGAAGAAGGGCCTCTACAGGGCAGGAGGCTATGTGTTTTCCCACCAGAAGTTTTTACTTATTTTTAGAAGTAACTTTTAGTTCACCTGTTACACTTTCGCCTTTCTGCTATCAAAGAATGAGTAATTTTCTAAACTCTGTTCTCTAACTACAGAAAATTGATATTAACTGAGAAAGAGTGGTTCGTCAATACTTCACAGCACCTAATTCAAATATCTCCCAAAGGCTTCAGCAACAATCTCATCTACAAGCTCTACATGAACTTTTATGACATTGTAAAATAATTCATCTGGTCCAACATAAACACAGCTATTAAATAAGACAGCAATAACTTTGCTATAAATCATTCCAAGCAGTTTGAAGAGGTTTGAATGCAGACTCCCAAATGCCACATGATGCAAACAGTCTATTTACTTTGTCACTATAAGCCAATACAAAAGTCACTAATATCAAAAGATTAACCACATGCAATCAGGTTTTAACATGATTGTTCACAGTATTTTCTTGCAAATTCCTCTTTTTAATGTGTTGTTTAAAATTGTATTTATGCAAGGGAATTTTTTATAAGTGCTATAGGCCTAACACGTTACAATGGCACTTGAAATACTGCACACTTTCTAGCCACAAAAATCACAACTGAATCACAGATTTGTTTTACAATGCACAAGAGTCTGTTCACCAAAAAAGCAACTCATTTTCACAGCATTGCTTCTCTGCAGCTTTTTAAAACTAATGTGACAGGAAGAATCACTTTAATACTTATTAGGGAAACAAAAAGTGGGATTATGTACTTCAGTCTAGGGCTCAGTTCCTTCCCATTTGGCTAGGAAAGTGAAATGATTATAAATACAGCAAATCAGTGTTCTAAAGGCTGCCCATATCAGCCCGTATCACCACTTTGGTATTTTGGTCAGTTATTTTCATCTCATTTGCAAAGCACATGGAACGCAGATAAACTGAACAAATTCTCTGGAAATTAGTCAGTTAACTCCTAAAACTATCTCCAGTATTAACTTTCACAGGATAATCTCATCATCTCTTAAATCCTAAATCAGAAGGGATTTTCAGATAAACACCAATTCACGAAAAAAATTCCTGGGAGGTAGAGAAGAAGTTAGTGCAGTTGGACTTTTCCTAGGGGACTTTCCAATGTAAGGTGAACTCAACCAAGCATCCAGCACAGATGTTTGGAACAATGTCAAACTTCAGAAGGCAGCGAGGCACTGATAGTGATAAGCTGAATTTAGCATCACTATAAAGACAGAGAGTATTGCACTAAGTTTATTACACATGGGGGGTGAATTTATGAACAAACTGCCTCAACAAATGTCACTGTGCACAAATACACAGGACTGTTTTGTGCAACTGAGCTTATAGAGGGGTTTATATGGCTCTGTCTTACAATGCAGCAGATACCACAGGTCACAGTAAAATGAGCAACTGACTTCCTGCCTGACTCTATTTTTCATTTGACTTTCTTATTTCTTATTTGTTCACAGGCCTTCCAATGAACTCTAAAATCTTAGATTTTTTTCTTCTTTTGAAACAAGCTTCCATGGTGAGGATGGGAATCTACTTATCTAATTCATGTAGACCCTGGAAGACACTGTGATAAGTCCATCAAAAAAAAGATTTTTGGTTGAATAAAATTCCTTGAACTCAAATATTTTTTTTACTGCAATGACTATCTAGTATGTTGAATAAAAGATATATATGACAAAGGCAGTATCTCCATCCTTACAGTGAACAACTTCTAAGTGTGCTCTGATAAGCCATCTACCCAAACATCAGGTATTTCTAAATACAGTATCTTAATGTTTTGAAATTAAAGAACAAGTGCTCTCAACATTATTCTTAGTATCAAAACATTTAAAAATAACAAACATGGCTTTAAGTTCTTACTTTAAAGCTGCCGGACTTGCTTGTAAGTTTCCTTCTTTCCACCACAGTTTTCCTTCCTCTGCCTAAGTTTTCCATAGGCCATGAACTAATGACTGTTTTCCACTGCATTTCATCTCTCTCAAGACAGTGCAAGTCTGTAGTTTAAACAGACATTTCTACAGCACTGCAACACTTGAGTTCTCTCCTAAACTGCCTAGGGAAAAAAACCTTTTAAATTTCATTCTTCCCGATTTAGCCAATCTGTGAATCCAACCATCCGATCTAATAATCCAAAGTGTGTATCTTATGCAATTTCTTCATCTCAGGCTTGGAATACAACTTTATACAGGAAATACACCCAGTACATTCCACAAAATTACTGCTCACACGTAACCTTTCCTGAGAAGTGATGCCACCATTGCAATCTGAAAAAACACCTCTATCACTTCAAAAGGTGACAAAAGTTGCCATTCAGTCGGTGAAAGAAGGGGAAAAAAAACCATTTAGAAAGCTTTTATCTAATATCAAGAATTAAATAATAGTGTGATTAATGAAGAACACACGTCTCCTCATCATATTTTATTAGAAGTACAGTGATTATCTTAAGTTGTTTTACCAGTACCCTCAAAAAATGCAGAGCAAACCAAAGCACACTGCACTCCAAGAACTGCTTTCTGAAGCCTAAAACCACGCAGGATCAGTTCACACGAACACTGAAAGGAACTCGGGGCGGGTACCGGGATAAGCGAACCTGGATGCTCGGTAAGCTGAAGGAGGGGACACTCACTCCCAGACGGAGAATGCCTCACTTCCAGCGTGTCCCACCAGGCCGCAGCTCTATCCAGGCCCGCGGGCCAACCCCGCACCCGGCCGGGCAGCCCCGCTGTCCTCCCGGGACAGAGGCCGCCGGGCCCGCCGGGTCGGGCCCGCCCCCCCTCACAGCCGGTGACAGTGCTGTTGTCACCGCTGCCGTGTGACACCCCCAGGCTGGGCTGTCCCGGGAGCATCTGCCCGACACCCACCCCCAAGCGAGAGGAGGGCACGGGAGCCTGGAGGAAACCCGGGGAAAGTGACGAGGAACACCAAGGAAAGCAGCTCCGCCTGCGGCAGGCACGCAAGGAGCCGGCGCGGCAGAGGCACGGGGGCCGGCCGGGCCGCAGGCACGCTGGGGCCACAGGCAGGCTGAGGCCGGAGGTGGCGAGGCCGCCGGGCAGGGTCCCCGGCCGCCCGCTCCTCTAGCGGAGGCGGCGCGGCAGCCGCCACCGGGCGAGACGCCACCGGAACGCTCAGGGCGCCGCTTGCCCTGCCGGCACACGGTGGCTCGGCGCCCCTTCGGCCGCGGGGCAGGTGCCGGTGCCCCGGACGCGGCGCAGCCCGCTGCCGTCCCGCCCCAGCGCCGCGCACAAACTTTCTCGCTCCGGCCCCGCGCCGCTCCCTCCCCGTGCGGCGGGCGGAGCGGCAGCCGCCGCGGCCAATGGCGCCGCGTGCCGCAGCCCCGCGGCCAATGGGCGGCGGCGGGAGGCGGGACCGCCGGCAGCCCCCGCGGCGGGGGGAGCGCGCCGGCTCGGCCGCCCGGACCCCCGGGACCCCCCGGCTCCGAGACCTCCCGGCCCCGCCGCCGCCCCGCTCACCGAACAGCCTGGCTCCGTCTGCTCCTGGCGCGGGAGACCGGGACCGGCCCCCCGCTCCTCCCCGGCTTCTCCGGCGCCTCGAGCCCGGGGCCGCGCCGGCGCTGGCAGCGGGCGCCTAGCGGGGCTCCTGGCGGGCGGCGCAGGCACCGGCAGCAGCCCCGACCTGCTCTCCGCCCCCCGCCGCTCCTGCCAGGCCCGTAAACATCCCGGCATCCCCGAGGATGGGGCGGGGCGGCCTCCCGGCCCCGCCTCGCTCCGCTCCCCCCGCCCGGCCGGAGGCGCGGTGTCCGCCTGGCCGGTAGCAGTCGGTGCCGGCGGGCCCGGTCCGGCTGTGCCCGGGCAGCTCCTCTGGAAATGACCGGGCTGTACGTGCGGTGAGGCAAGGAGTGCTCATCGCAGCGTGCTCGTGCCGGGGGGCACGGCGGGGCCCGGGTACCCCGGGAAGCTCTCCCGGAGCAGGAGCGGGAGGAGCACCGGCTCCGGCCTCTGGAGCAGGGACTGGCCCTTCTGCTCTGAGCGGCACTGCTCTGAGGCTTGGGCCCTGCCAGATTTAAAAACATGTCAGACTTGCTCATTTTGTATTTGAGTTGTGATAGTCAATCTGTGAGACATTGGATATTAACTGAGTACATCAACTGAAAGTGACACAAACTCCTTTTTGCTATGCTGGGAGAAATAAAAGTGATGGCAACAAAAAATACCAGACTCTTGCTGAGTCCTGTTCCACCAGCTTCTACTTTGCAACAGCACTGGGTTTAAGTAGATAAAAAATACTGAATTCCAGAATACTACTGGTTTTCAGGTTCCTGAAAGTCTACCCTGCTTCAGTGCAGGGAAAGGTAATTACCTACACAGAAGAGAAGAACCAATGATGGGAGAAAAGTACGAAAGCTGACCAGTTTCCCCAGTAAGGTTATGGATTACTGTGATCAAATTAACTTTTTTTCCTCAGGTGTAGAAGCCCTCTGTAAAAGGCGCTCCAGTAATCTACAAAAGAGAAAACAGTAACTGAGAATTACCTTGAATCTGATGTACTTGATTTTTCCAAAGCAAAATTTAAGTTCTCATAAGGCTGGGAGGTTTTGCTGCAGTTTTTCCCTTGTAACAGGTATAGTAATACTTGATTTAAGTCTTGCAAAAGAAGTAGGAAATGGGCCAGTGTGTCTGAAAAAAGTCTATTCACTTCCCTGTGTACAAAATTATATCTGCTTTTGAGGCAAACTTTTCAGCTTTGAGACATCTGCAGTGTTGCCAGTCATACAAAGTCTAATGAAATTTGAAAGGAAATTATTTTTGTTGGCTCTCATTTCTCTGATTTGTTACTCTTTCTGCACATTTCCTCTGTAATAGCATTGGGTCATTTGGTGCCACTGGCCAAATACAGTGATAAGGTGACCACCCAGGCCTTCCCTTTTGATGTGCATTTTGTATTTCTTTAGGGTAGTCCAAAAAAATTCATTTGAATCGTGATTAAGAGAAATGGGGTTTTTTTGATAAATTATGTTGTAAATGCAGTTTCTTGAACAAGAATTCACTGGATTGTTTTTTGCAGAAAGTGCAATACATTAGGGTTCCCCACATACCACAAAGTGAAAACTTGATAGATCTGCCATACAATGTTAAGAAATTACTTTAAAGAATTGCAATCAGCAAATTCCACTGACTTCCATCTCCAAAAGTCTCTTCAGCCTCAACCAGAAATGGAGTTGTATGAGGGCAGTCACCTATTAGCAAAACCTCTGATGGAAAAAGGAGAGATTGTCACTTGGTGTGTAGCTGACCATAAAATACTGAGTCCTATTAGGTCTCATGTTCCCACAGGTAAAGGCAATAGTACTGTAATACCCAGCTATTGCTATTTTCTAGCCTCTATTAGATGGAAAATGAGCAATTCACAACCTAGACTTAGGTAGCATTTGAAGGTTTCTCTACATTCATGCATAAAAAGAGAAGACCCAGGGCTTGCTTGCTTTTTTTTACAGTAGGTTTCTCACAGTCTCCCTTTATTTAATCTGATTGTATTTGAATTTTTTCTTTCATCCTATTTTTATACTCACTGCTCTTTCACTTTCATTAATTTTCTTTGATTTTCTCCATGCTGTAATTTCACTGTGCAGTTCCATAATATTTTGACTTCTCACTTTAGACACCTGAATCCAATGGCTACTTTAGCTTGACATTACCAGTTGATGAAGCATCTTCTCTTTCCTGTATTCCAACCTTATCTTTCTTAGAAGACGGTTGTTTCTATTTTATTCTTGATGCTTGGGACTCAGAGATGCTAAAAATGAAGAATCTGCTTTAGTTAATTAGTTCATCATCACAACCAGGCAAACAGGCTTTCATATAAATGTGACTACACTGCCCCCATTAATTTTACATTTGCAAAGTGACACACCTTCCACAGAAGATCCTCTTCAGCTCTGAGTTGTACAAATGTTTATTCATAGAAGGATGTTTTTCTTTGCTTTTCAATGCACATTTACAGTTAAATAAATTTGTCTAATATTCCCTGTAATGGAGACTTTATATCAAACAGAATCAGAAAGGCAGAAGAGGCTCCAGAAGATTCCGCAGCCTCAGGGATTTTTAGGGAGCAGGCTTATCTCTGGCTAAAGCTTCTCTCCGAGGCCAGAGGGGACACTGCCTAACCAGCTAGCAAAGGATTAGAGAAAATGGACAAAGACATGCTGGAATTGGGGATCTGTGAAGGACAACGTGGCTTGTTCCCTAAGTCTGCCAACTTCTGAAGGTGTTGGCAAGAAATGCTTTACACCTGGAATTGAACAGGCCAGAGGCAGAAGCAACAAGGACCTCACTCTTTGTCAGTGGATGCTAAGCTTTATTAGCCATGCTGTTATTAACCTATTTACATTTCAGCAGTGATTTAAGAAAGCTGCACCAATCTTTTTCTGATCATTGAAATCTGTGAATATACATAACTTATAAATATAGTCAGGGTTCAAGAATCTAAAAAAATATCCAGTGACGACAAATGTGACACCTGGATTGTCTCTGAAAACAGTGTCCTTTGTGAGGACTAAGCTGCTAGACTTGAAAGCACCTAGAGAGGGCTTGGTAACCACATAAAAATCAACCAGGAATTCAAACATTTAGCCCACCTCGCTGGATGGTTCCTAAGTTTCTGCCACTGTTATCCAGGGCTCTGTGCAGCTGGAGACTCTTGAGATGTTCATTAACACAATAAACTGAAAACTCAGGAAAAATATAGATTTGAAAACTTTAAAACTTTCAGGCAGAAGAGCTCACTAGGACAGTGGAGGATGGGGATAGATGTCTTCGAGGTCACAGAGATAGGAGCATAATATAACAGCTCACTGGTTAACAATTCTTCAGGTTCTTCAAATCAATAAAGTACAGGAAATTAATCAAAAGGAGCAACTGCTCTGCTCTAAGTCCTTGAAGCCTGAAAAGTCTCCCTCTCTCCTGGTTCTTTGTTACTAACAGTAAAAAGGCTAGGATAGCTGCCTGTGACATGGATGTGGAAATGAGAAAGGCTGTGAAGGCAGTAGTAGAGAGATCTCCATTATATTTGCACTGGATAAATATTATGATAGGGCTTTATGCAGAACTTAATATTTTAGACAACATAAATCAATGGAGCAATCCAGGGAAGCTTGGAGAACTGATTTGTATCAAGCAGGGCACCAGACCTTCTGAATTGCTGTATCAAAGAACTGTTTTAGAATTTTGATCATATTATATTCAAATTCAAAAACCTTTAGAAGTGAAAAGTGAAATAAACCTACCATAGCAACAATGTTGAAAAGAGGACTATATAAAATCAAGGAAGTTTGTTAATAGTAAGTTAGGAGAAAATGATCTGTATTAGTGTTTCTGAGTAAGTATCTATGATCTGTCAAAGTTAGAGGGTCTCCAAAAGACTAGCAGAACTCTATATGAGAATAAAGGATATTATTAAAAAGAAAAAGGAGCTCCTTAAAAAAAAGGGTGTTCAGATGAGAAAAACAGAAAATAGGAAAACCTCTGGCAGGCTACATGTGAAACTGTAAAAGGCAGACCAAAAGCATATGAAGGAAAATGTTAGTAATGGTATAAAACTTTATTGTAAAACCTCTTCCAAACACATCAGAAGCAGGAAGCCTGCAGGATAGAAAAACTGTTTGCTTATGTGGATATTATGAGACGTTCCTACAGGGAACCCCTTTATACCACAGAAACCTGTGAGAGTTTTTGGAAAGGTATGTGGAAACAGGGAGCTTGGATGACAGGAGATTCCTGTATTTCAGTAAAACTTCTCAACAAATTACTAAAATTGCTTAAAGAAATTAAGCTGCATTGCAATACAAAGAAAGGATCAGTACTGAGCTATACTGAGTGCTGTGCAATACCTTTTCCTAAAATTTGGTTCTATATACATAATCACAGTTAAATCACAGGTTTTTTTCAAAATTTTTCTATGTTCTAGCACACTGATATTCTCATATATTATCATAATACATGTGTTATTGTTTAACTGAAGGAAGAAAATATTTGTATATTTGTATGTGTAGTGAGCACAGTTAGCCTAACCTAGCTTACTGGTAATAAAGAAAACTACATTTTGGTGCAGGTTAATTGAGCACCAGCTGATCTGTCTATCCAGACTCCCACTCCACTGCAGCCTGCTGAGCAGGCTTCAGGTTTGGCATACCCCAGTCCATCCACATCTTCCCTCAGCATGTCCTGGCATTCCCCACGTTCTCTGAGGGCAGCACTGCTCGCCCCCATTTTAGCAATGGCAGTACCAGAGCACCCAGGCAGAGAGCTCAAATGCAGTTTAGGAATAGTTCTGCCATTCACACAGGATGGCAGAGACTGTTCAAGAACCAGCAACAGACATGTTAATTTGTATTATGTCTTACCTCAGTTCTTCCTGTTTAACAAATATTTGTCAAAAATCCCAAACTGTTCTTCTCAAGAATTTTTTTTGCTAAGTCATCCTTTACATTTATCTAAAGGTCCAATCCATTTTAAACATCACAAATGTGACAGTTTCAGTAAGTATGTGCAATGAACTGTGTGACTACTCAGTGATGGCAAGTAATTCCCTTTACATATTTGTCAGTTGTTCACCTCCTAGGTTGA